CCTGATTATTTATATATTTTATATTTTTAAGATTCTTGATATTCACTATTTATCATTGGACTAGTTTTATTTATTTATTTTATTGCATAATAAAAGTGGCATAACCCGGTCCACCCCCGCCGCACCCAGTTATTAAACGGAGTACATAGGGTGGAGTCAGTATTTTGTCTACCGGAGTAGGGATGAAGATGATATAACAATTACAAACCCGTTCCAGAATAGAAACGGAGTTGGTGTGATAAATTTTCTAAAGAGACGGAATATGGTTTAGCGAAACCCACCCCAACTCCGCCCCCGTTGCCATCCATACTTGCTTATACTTATAATTCAAGTTTTATTTTGTTGAAAATTAATTGCTTGAATTAAATATCAAATTAATGAAATATTATAATCTCACTTTAACGTATTAACCTCATGCAATTACTGTAGCTCATTTAACATGTATTTATTAATTTTAATTTCATTATTATTATTATTACGGAATATTATTATTTTATTTTTATTTTTTGTGAGTGCGGAGAGAAAAAGGAGGGAACTGTTATGTATATATCATGGTGTGGGGCCCACAATGTATGATATCATCCATGACATCAAGGCTTAAGTCTTACAAAGGAAGCTTTCAAGAGTGGCTTCTTAGGGAAGCCAATTGCTGCGCCTATATATATATATAGCTATGCATGTGTACTGGGGAGATATGTGTTGGAATAGAAAAACAAAATTTCATTCTCTCTGCCTCTCTTTCGTTTTCTCTCTCTCAATCTCTTTATATTACTTTCTTTATGTGTATATATACACACACACACAAATTTATTACACGTTATCAGCACGAACTCTATCCATCTGAGATTTGAAGAAGAAGCTTTCTCTCCCTCTTTCTATCCTAACTATATATCTATTTTGTGATATTAGTTTTGATAGATTGTTGGGTTAGTTTGCTTTATCGGATAAAATAATATTTCTGACTCCAAAGGGAATGGATCTGACTAGTTCCAAACTAAATGGTGAAGACATATGTCTTGCAGATAGCGGAACAACGCATACAATCCTTCGAGATCAAAAATATTTTTCCCACTTAACTCTGACAGACATTAGTGTCAGTACCATATCAGGTCCCACCGACTTGATTGAAGGCTCCGGACGAGCCAACATCATTTTACCACATGGAACTAGATTACAAATCAATGATGCCTTATATTCTACAAGATCTCGGAGAAATCTGCTGAGTTCTAAAGACTTGCGTCGTAATGTGTATCATATTGAGACTGCAAATGAAAGAAATGTCGAATATCTCTACATTACTTCCATTACCTCAGGCAAGAAACTGATATTAGAAAAACTCCCTGTTTTCTCTTCTGGGTTATACTATACAACCATTAGAACAATTGAGTCAAATGTTGTGATCCATAAAAAATCTTGTGACCCAAAACTTTTTATACTTTGGCATGATCGACTTGGTCACCCAGGGAGTACAATGATGAGTCGAATTATTAAAAATTCACATGGTCACCCACTAAAGGATCAAAAAATCATCTTACCAAATAATCATCTATGCACCGCCTGCTCACAAGGTAAGTTGATTATCAGATCATCCCCTTCAACAGTCATTGTTGAGTCTCCTCCATTTTTACAACGAATTCATGGGGATATATGTGGGCCAATCCATCCACCATCTAGACCATTTCGTTATTTTATGGTCTTAATTGATGCATCAACACGATGGTCACATGTTTGTCTACTTTCTACTCGTAATATTGCATTTACTAAACTTCTTGCTCAAATCATCAAATTACGGGCACACTTTCCTGATTACCCAATTAAGACAATCCGTCTTGATAATGCCGCTGAATTTTCTTCTCAAGCTTTTGATGATTATTGCATGTCAGTTGGAATTTATGTTGAACATCCTGTTACACACACTCATACTCAAAATGGTATGGCTGAATCTTTTATTAAAAGACTTCAGCTAATTGGTCGTCCTTTGCTTATGCAAACAAAATTACCTGTTTCTGCCTGGGGTCATGCCATATTGCATGCTGCATCATTAGTTCGTATACGACCAACTGCTTATCATAAGTACTCACCATTACAACTTGTTTTTGGTCAACAACCAAATATCTCCCACATACGAGTTTTTGGTTGTGCTGTATATGTTCCAATTGCACCACCCCAACGCACTAAAATGGGTCCTCAACGTAGACTTGGAATTTATGTTGGTTTTGATTCTCCATCTATTATTAGATTTCTTGAACCCCTGACAGGTGATGTCTTCAAAGCACGATTTGCTGACTGTCATTTTGATGAGACTGTTTTCCCACCATTAGGGGGAGAAAAGGTACAGCAGCAACGTGATCTTACTTGGAATGCCTTGAAATTGTCTCATTTTGATCCTCGTACAAACCAATGTGAACGAGAAGTTCAGAGGATCATTCAGTTGCAAAATGTTGCAAATCAATTACCTGATGCATTTACTGATACAAAGAAAAGGATAAAATCACATATACCAGCTGCAAATGTACCAGCACGAATTGCTGTCCCTGAGGGACCTTCTGTCAGTAATGCAGCAAATGCATCTAAAACACGCCTGAAGCATGGTAGACCAGTTGGTGCAAAAGAGATTGTTTCTCGTAAGAGGAAATCACAAAGAAAAGTTGGCACTCCTGAAGAGGCCACAAAAAGAGCAACAGATATTATTAATCAATCTGAGATAATAGCCTTTGATAAGGCAGATGCTCTTAATGAGTCTCAGGTACCTAAAAATGATGAAATAATAAATATTGATGAGGCAAAAGCAACAGATGATGATGTGGCCCTTGATGAGGCACATGCTCTTGATGAGGCAAAGGTACCTGAAAATGATGAGATCTCATTAAATTATGAAACGAGATGGAATAGAAATGAAATTGTTGTCGACAACATATTCTCATATCTTGTTGCTCTTGATATTGAAAATGAGAATCTGGAACCTCAAAACGTTGAAGAATGTCGACGAAGAAATGATTGGCCAAAATGGAAAGAAGCGATACAAGCAGAGCTAAATTCATTAGCTAAACGTGAAGTATTTGGACCAGTAGTCCAGACACCTGAGGGTGTTAATCCTGTTAGGTACAAATGGGTGTTTGTACGAAAGCGTAATGAGAAAAATGAAATCGTGAGATATAAAGCCCGACTTGTAGCTCAAGGTTTCTCACAAAGACCTGGTATTGATTATGAGGAAACATATTCCCCTGTGATTGATGCAACTACTTTTAGATTCATAATACATTTAGCAGTCACAGAAAGATTGCATATGCATTTAATGGACGTGGTTACAGCATATTTATATGGATCACTAGATAGTGATATTTATATGAAAATCCCAGAAGGATTTACAATGCCTGAAACAAAACCACGTAATATGCACTCAATAAAATTACAACGATGCTTATATGGATTGAAGCAATCTGGACGAATGTGGTATAATCACCTTAGCGATTACTTACTCAAAGAAGGGTATGTGAATGGTCATATTTGTCCATGCATATTTATTAACAAATCAGAATCTGGTTTTGTTATTGTTACAGTATATGTTAATGATCTGAACCTTGTGGGAACATTGGACGAGATCTAAAAGACAGCCACATATTTAAAGAAAGAATTTGAAATGAAAGATCTCGGAAAGATAAAATTCTGCCTTGGGCTGCAGGTTGAACATCTTTCGAATGGTATTCTCATCCATCAATCAACATATACAGAAAAGATTCTGAAACGTTTTCATATGGATAAAGCATATCCATTGAGCTCCCCAATGGTTGTCCGATCACTGGACATCAAGAAATATCATTTTCGTCCTCATGAAGATGATGAAGAACTCCTTGGCCCTGAAGTGCCATATCTCAGGGCGATTGGTGCTCTTTTGTATCTTGCAAATTGCACAAGACCTGATATAATTTTTTCAGTCAATTTATTAGCATGGTACAGTTCTGCACCAACTCGCAGACACTGGAAAGGAATCAAACACATATTGTGATATCTTCGAGGCACAACTGATATGGGCTTGTTTTATTCGAAGGCACCAAAGTCTCCATTAGTTGGATATGCAGATGCCGGCTATCTTTCTGACCCACATAAAGCTTATTCACAAACAGGGTATGTGTTTACCTGTGGCGGCACAGCTATATCATGGCGATCGATGAAACAGACAATGATTCCCACTTCTTCAAATCATTCTGAGATACTCGCAATTCATGAGGCAAGCAGGGAATGCATTTGGTTGAGATCAATGATCCAGTATATTCGAACAACATGTGGTCTCTCATCAATAAAAGAAAGTCCAACAATATTATATGAAGATAATACGGCATGCATTGCACAGATAAAAGAAGGGTATATTAAAAGTGACAGGACCAAGCACATCTCACCAAAATTCTTTTATGCACATGAACTGCAGAAAAAGGGTGATATTGATATTCAGAAGATACGTTCATGTGAAAATCTAGCAGATTTATTCACTAAAACGCTTCCAACTACAACATTCAAGAAGTTGGTGCACAACATTGGAATGCGTCAACTAAAGGATCTTCGTGGTTGATCTAATGAGGGGGAGCAATTCATCAAAGAAGTATTGGCATGTTGTACTCTTTTTCCTTCGTCCAGGTTTTGTCCCACTGGGTTTTCCTGGCAAGGTTTTAATGAGGCAGTTTTACTCTATGCAATACCATTTTCAGATACATAAGAATACTGTACTCTTTTTCCTTCGCTAGTGTTTTGTCCCATTGGGTTTTCCTTAACAAGGTTTTTAACGAGGCATATTCTTAATACGGTATTATGGACCCCAAGAGGGAGTGTTATGTATATATCATGGTGTGGGGCCCACAATGTATGATATCATCCCTGACATCAAGGCTTAAGTATTACAAAAGAAGCTTTCAAGAGTGGCTTCGTAGGGAAGCCAATTACTGCGCCTATATATATATATATATATATATATATATATATATATAGCTATGCATGTGTACTGGGGAGATATGTGTTGGAATAGAAAAACAAAATTTCATTCTCTCTGCCTCTCTTTGGTTTTCTCTCTCTCAATCTCTTTATATTACTTTCTTTATGCGTGTACACACAAATTTATTACAGGAACTAACAAAAGTTTGTGATTATCTTTTTTAAATTTTGATCTTTTTATCTTTTACATATCCTGTAACTTTATCCAATTCAAAATCGCGTAACTTTTCTTTTCCCGGAAAAGCCAAAGGCAGAGCCAAACACCGTTGTGTATAAATTGTGTTGCAGTTGCAGAGAGATTAAAATTCTTCTTGTTTCATCAGTTGGTTCACTCAATCGATCAAATGGCGAGACACGAAGATCTTCCAATTCCTATCTATTCGTCTCTCCAACCGGTGTACGGAGACAAATCTCCACTCGAAGAAGCTCAACTTCGATTCGAGAATTTGAAATCCAAATTCATCCAATCCTTCGGTCACCCTCCTGAAGTCTACGCTCGATCTCCAGGTCACCTTTTTGTCAATTCACACACAAACACACACACACACACACACACAGACACAGACACACACACACACACACATATATATATGCACATATAATCGTGTATGTATGTCTATATTTACACACACTTATAGTGTGGTGAACTGATATAGTATGTGATACAGGGCGAGTGAATCTGATAGGGGAACACATTGACTATGAGGGCTACTCGGTGTTGCCTATGGCGATTCGGCAAGACATTATAGTGGCGATCCGGAAAAATGATCAAAATCTTCTTCGGATTACCAATGTTAGCGAGAAGTACATAATATGTACTTATCCTGCTGATCCAAACCAGGTATAAGCTTCTATTTCTTCTTTATCTTTGTACAGTGAATCTGTTTTTGTGAATGCATTGTGTTGTTCTGCTTTTAGTTTGAATGATTATTAGATTAAAGAGATTCCTACAATTTATTTGATCTCCAAGTTCTTGGATTAGCATATTTTTGGCCCAATTTTGGATTTTGACTTTCGATGAGTTGAGCATTTTTGGTTTTTTGTTAGAACAAAAATACCTGTTTAGTTGATAACCACCTTTTTTTTTTTTTCCTAGTTGGTACTCACACACACATGCCTCCAGTGAGGTTCCATGATAATTTCAGTTCTTTATAATGAAGCTTCAGCTAGAGTGCTTTTTAGGCATTTCAAGGATTGTATTGGACTTCGCATTTTCTTAAAGTACTTTTTAGATTTTCATGGAAGATTTTTGGAAGAAACCCAAACCATAGGAAGCCACAATTCTTGAATTGCATAAAGAAATTCTAGTAGAACAATATTTCACCAATCCAACTCAAGTAAAGAAAATATGGTTTTGATTCTTTGAAGTTGGTTATTCAAGGATTTGTGTTAACAAGGGGTTTAAAAAAGGTTTTAAGATGGTAATCAACTACATAGGGTGTCTTGTTTTAGAGAAGAAGAATTGAGATATTATGAGAATGTATCATGTTAATTTAGTCCAAAATTCATGCCCATTTAAGTATGTAACATACCTCTTAAGGTATTTCATGTAATAATTAATATTATAAGTTAGAAATACAATTTTTTTGATAATTTCACCTAATTGATTTGACATAATTCTTTTAATATATGTATATAAGATAACAAACAATTATTATTTTAAATTTATAAATAAAGACACATTTTATCTTTTATACAAATGTAGATACAAACATCATATAAAATATAAATAAAAATATATGTATTGTTTCATCGTCTTAGTATCCATGTCCAATTTTCTAAAAATTTATAGCATCTGTATTTGAATTCTTTCATTTCTGTGGTCATGCTTCATTTTTTTTATCAAACATACTAGAAACTAGAAAAAAAACATGAAAGATGATAAAAAAAAATGAAAAAGGCCGTATGAATGACTAATGATAGAAGAAATTAAAAAATATATATATTTATGCTGTTAATTTTCTGTAATCGGGATTTGTTGATGTTATAACTAGCAATGAATCTCAACCATCATCGACAATTACCATAAAGACCAGATATACTCGAATGCGTGATAATTTTCTGCATGTCATCAATATGTCGGCTATATTTAAGGAGGGCTCTTATTGTGCAATATCTTGCGGTCTTCTAATGGATTGCTTCTGTGGGTTTTTACATGCAACACCGCATAAATTTTCAATTGTGTACGATGCTTCTCATGATTCACAATGTATAATTCTTGAGAAAATTCAGAAGTTATTAATGGGAGGAAAAGGTGTCAGGTCATTCACTCGAGTGTTCTATTTTTTTCCCTTTTAATTTAATTTTGAACTTTGAATAAGAATGGAATCAGTTAATTGGGTAAATGCAAATTTTTTTGTTTAGTTCAAAAATATTATGCCATGACAAACAACCATGAACCAAGAAACAAAACACGACAAAAACAAGCACGCCACACACAAAGAACAAAAATATTTAGCGTGGTTCAACACAAGTTGTGTCTACATCCACGGTGAAGATTTGCCGAAATGTTTCGCTAAGCGAAAAACAGGAGATTACAAGTTTCTGCCCCCAAACCCTAGTTCTCGCTCTCACTTTCTTTTATGCAATTTTCAATGTCTCTCAATATCTCACACCAAACCTTAATGCCCTTATATATTGGACTACAAGGAGTACTAAACAGGGTCCATGACCCGCAAGCAAAAAACGGGTCAAAAATATTTCCCCAACATTGGTTTGTTGGGTTGAACTAGGTCGCAATGCAACCTGGAACCAAATTCGGGCCACAACATCACATATTAAAATAGATTACTTCCAGTTTTACACTCAGGGAAGCCCTCAGAGGTTATTTTAGTATACAGATATAGTTGCATGTATTCATTTAAACACTCCCTCTCTCGCTCAGAGAATAATAAAGGCCACTGTCAGGAGTTTACACCGGAAGTATACATTAACACAAATTGCTTTTCACCTATTAAGTGAATTGCTTCTTTTTTCAACCATTCGTCTTGATGATTTAATTACTCCTTTTATTATTTAGTTTCTGAAATAAGTATTTGAATCAGCTTCCCGTGGCTCATACTTTCTATCCATCTGTTTATAAATTAAATTTACCTCCTTTGAACATGTTTTGCTACATCCAGGATTGACGTGGATTTATTGTTCGTAGTGATGTTAGTGTCCTTTCCATAATGGGCTTCTTTTGTTGATGAAACAATTTTAATCATGTCAATGAGCTTGATCCTTTCCATTTTGCAGGATATTGACTTGAAGAATCACATTTGGGGTCATTATTTCATCTGTGGGTGAGAAATTATGCATTTCTTCCTTTTATTTTCTTTCTTTTTTTGTTTGGTTACTTTGCTTTGTATTAATGCCTCGTACATTTATGGTAGTTAAATAATTCATTAATTTGGTTTTGTGCTTTGTTTATAACAACAAATGACAAGTAAGGTTTAACTGGTGTTAAATAGTGTTGTGTAACCCTAAATGAGCTTGTTTAGGAATGGTATCATGGCAGGTTTGAAGTGGTCACCCTTCAGCTAACCTTCTCTTGAAGGTGCCCCCTCTTCAAATGGTCATCAACTCAAAGTCTCAAACTAGGGTAGAACAAGAAATGGCATGAGGTAACAGGGCAGTCAATGAAATCACATATATTTTGATTTAAAGAATTTTATTTGTGCATAATTCGTCTTGCACATGCAAGCATCTGTGGGTGGTGAATTTTTTTGATAAAATGCTAGGGAGGGGTGCTTCTTTTACAGCAGCTAAGGTTCCCTCCATTTTTTATTTTTTTTAAACTGAAGTTGTAATGTGAGATGTTAGTGGTTGCAATCTAGAAATTATTGTCATCTGGCTCCTTGTATTGAAATGATCAATGATGTTATATTGTAATAAACCAAAATGGCATCTGAGAAAACATAAATATTCTCTCATTCTGAAATACCTCAAAATGATTGTTTTGTTCTTTAATTTATATGATAAATGAGAGCCATGTAGTCTTTGTACCTTATAATTAATATTGTATCGCCTGATTAAAAGAATTCCTGTGAGGTGTATTGTAAAGATTCATGTAATAAACATCAAAATTTGATTGACTTCTAAAAGATGAATTGATTAAGGTGGGTTGGGCAATCTTAAGTCGTCGTCGTCGTCGTCCTTGCCATTACCCTATATGGATGGGGTTCGCCACATGGATTCTCTTTACCATTCTTTCCTATTATATACACTGTCTCATCTAATATTTAATTTTCTAAAATCATTTTTAATTATTTCATCCTATTGGTCGACTTCTTTCTCACTTACCTTATAGGAAAACAACTCTTCCTCTTCTAACCGGTGCATTTTCGTATCTCCGTTGTAGATGACCATACCACCTAAGTTTGCTTTTTCCAATTTTATCATTAATAGGCATAATTCCTAGTTTTTCCTTCACTCGCTCATTATTAATATTATTTCTTTTAGTTAATTCTATCATCCATCATAGCATCCTCATTTACGTTACATGAATCATCATTTTTGTTTCTTTTTCAACACCCAATCATACAATATAGTTGGTTTAATAACCGTACTACAAAATTTTAGCTTTTTTTTTTTTCCTTAGTTGGTACTCATACACACATGCCTCTATTGAGGCTCGAACCCCTGACCTACCTTTGGGAAGTAGGGGCCTGGTACCGCTAGGCCACTGGCTTGTTGGTAAGTTTCCTTTTAATTTATCTTATATATGCTTTTCACATAAGATACAGTTAGCTTGCCATTTTGTTCACACTCTCCAGTCCTACTTATGACATCACCATGTACCTCCTTGTCTTTCTATAATATTGACCCTAAATAATGGATATAGTTATTTTTAGTAACTCTTTGATATTGAATTGTAACATATATTTTGTCATCTTCTACTACTTTTAGCAAATCTACATTCCATAATTTGTTTTTTCTTTTTTCACTCATTTGTAGTCCTTTTGCTTCTAAAGTCTTTCTTTATGTTTCTAACTTTGTTGGTAAGGCTCCCTTAGGAGTACCTAATAGGACTATGTCATTAGCAAAGGACATAAACCCCGGAATGTTTTCTTGGATATCTTTCACAATTTCATCCAACACTATTGTAAATATATATGTACTAAACACTAATCATTGGTGTAATCCTACTCTTATAGAGAATACACTAGTTTCTCCACATGTAGTACGAACTACTTTGGGCCAAGGCCCTCCTAAGATTTGGAAAAACCTATTTACCGTTAAAAATTTTTGGTTGCACAATTTTTGTTCACATACCAAATAAATCTCGGTCTAAATTAGATCCGAGAGCTGAAAAATGTGTTTTTTTAGGATATGCCCCTAACCAAAAAGTGTATAAATGTTTTAACCCTCAAACAAAAAAATTCTATATTACTATGGATGTCTATTTTTTGGAAAATACTCCATTCTTTGCCAAAAATTTTCTTCAGGGGGAGAAAATAGGTGAAGAAGATAATTTTTGGGAAAAATCTGCACCTTTACCCAATACAATCGTTGACTTTCCTTCTCAGGACACCGAAACATTTCCCACCGAATCCTCTCCACAAATTATTAAGTTTTTTCAAGAAAAAGAAAACAACATTCAAGATGTTGATATTGGCAGAATCGTTTTTTTACCAACAGAGAAGGAAATACTACAAAAGGATAAATTTAATCCGAATTCTGAGCTTCTGGTTTATACTAGAAAGAGGATCCCTGAAAGAAATAAAGACCCTCCTATCATCCCAGTGTAGAATCAATCAGAATCCCTGAACAATGGCTCTTTGAATATTTCAGGTAACTCTTCTCCTATTCCTATTTTATCTTCTGCTCCCACTTCGGAATCAGACCCTATAGTATCTCCGAAAAATAAAATCTCAGATCTTGATATTCCAATTGCCATAAGAAAAGGAACCCGAACATTCACTAAATATCCTATTGCCAAATATATTTCCTACCAAAAACTCTCTAATAATCATAGAGCTTTTACTTAAAATATTTCTCAACTTGTTGTACCAAGAAATATCTAGGAAGCACTAGATGATCCATAGTTGTTAAAGGCGCCGGAGGCGCGCGCCTGAGGCTTAAGGCGCCTCCAGGCGCCACCTTGGCGCCTTGATTGACTTAAGGTGAGGGACTTGATATAGGCGAGCGCCTTTTGGGATAAGGCGCTGGGCTACAGGCGAGATGCAGGCGCGCCTGTTTGAAAAATAATTTTTTTTTTTAATATTTTGTTATTATTTTGGTTGTGTAACTTGTCTTACTTGTATATTTTATTATTTGTTTATTTCTATTACAAAACCTATATACAACTTGCAAGTTACAAAGCAAAAAAAAAAAAAAAAAAAAGGAAATCAAAAGGCAAAAGGAACAAAGAGACTCCAGAGACAGAGAAGAGAGTAGAGACAGAGAAGTACGACTGTACGAAGCGCCGAAGCCTAGACTCCGACTCTCGGATCTGCCGGATCTGCGTCTGCGCCGAAGCCTGGTAAGTTCTCCTTCCCTCTCTTCTTCTTCTCTCCTTCTTGCTTCTTCTTCTCTTGAGTCTCTTCTCGGTACTTTTTTTTTTTTTTCTCTTTTCTTCTTCTTCTCTTCTTCTTTTCTTCAGTTCTTCTTCTTCTCTCAGCTCTCTCGAGTCTCTACTCCCTAGTCTCTTTTATTTTTTTCTTCTTTGAGCCGATACCTCTTCTTTTATTTATTTATTTATTTTTTCCCTCTATTCTTCTTCTCTTGTCTCTCTTGCTTTTCTTTTATTTTTTTTATTTTTTTTTCTCTATTCTTCTTCTCTCGACTCTCTCTGCTCTTTTTTTTTTTTTTTTTTTTTTTATTCTTTTATTTTATTTTATTTTATTTTTTTATTTTATTCTTCTTTGAGCCAAGTCTCGGCTCTTCTTTTATTTTTTTATTTTTTTATTTTTTTTTCCTCTATTCTTCTTCTCTTGGCTCTCTTGCTCTTCTTTTATTTTTTCTTCTTCTCTCGGCTCTCTCTGCTCTTTTTTTATTTTTTTATTTATTTTTTTAGGCTGGTCCTCTGTTTTTTGTCCTCTATTTGTTTGGTCCTCTGTAATATATAAAAGAATTAATTGATGCATGTGAGATACAATTGGAAGTTGTATATTGACTGTTGGGACTTTAAATTGTGGGCTGTGACCCTTGTGAAGGAAATTGGGCAGTGCTGTTAAATGGAGTAAGGGCTGTGTCTATGTATATAAAAGAGAATTGTTGCATGTTAGGTATTAATTGATGCATGAAACAAAATGCTTATATAGTTATATACATAACATTACTATGTCTCTCTCTCTCTCCACTGTTGAAGTCTGAGTGACTCATTCATTTACTATTGCATCTTTATATATACTTTTGCATCTTTAATACTTTATTTGGTGGGTTTTTCTTTTTTTCTTTTTTTTAACGTGCGCCTTGCTTCAGTCGGGCGCGCGCCTCACCTTGCGCCTTAGGCTCCAGGAGGCATTTGCGCTTTTGTGTGCCTTGAGCCTTTAACAACTATGAAATGATCCGAATTGGAAATTGGCAGTACTTGAGGAAATGAACGCTCTTAGGAAGAATGTTACGTGGGAGATGGTTGACTTGTCGAGAGACAAGAAAACTGTAGGGTGCAAATGGGATTTTACAGTGAATTGCATAGCAGATGGCAGTATAGAGAGGTACAACGCGAGGCTTGTTGCAAAAGGTTTTACACAAACCTATGGAATCAACTACCAAGAGACGTTCGCCTCCGTAGCCAAAATAAACTCAATTCGAGTATTATTGTCCCTTGCCGTGAATTCCAATTGGGATAAAAAATGCGTTCCTTAACGGAGACTTAGAAGAGGAACTTATTATGAGTCTTCCACCGGGGTTCGAAGAAAGACTTGGTGTAGATAAGGTCTGCAGATTAAGGAAGTCATTATATGGCCTCAAACAGTCCCCGAGGGCTTGGTTTAAACGCTTTGGCAAAGCAGTAAGACGTCACGGATATTGTCAAAGTCAAGTAGATCATAGCATGTTTTATAAACACTCGAAAGTTGGTGAAATTGCTATTTTGATTGTTTATGTGGATGATATTATCTTGACAGGAGATGATAGTGCCGAATTGAAAAAACTAAAAGAAAGGCTTGCTGATGAATTCGAGATCAAAGACTTGGGGGCGTTGAAGTATTTCCTCGGAATGGAGTTTGCTAGGTCTAAGGAAGTTTGTCAATCAACGCAAGTATGTATTGGACTTGCTTGGAGAAACGGGTATGCTTGGTTGTAAAACAATGGAAACACCAATGGAACCTAACACAAAATTACAATCTGCTAAGACCAAAAGTGTAGTGAACAACGAACGATATCAATGACTTGTTGGAAGGTTGATTTATCTGTCTCATAGACTATCGGATATAACATTTTCGGTAAGTATGGTTAGTTAATTCATGCATTCGCCTGGACCGGAGCATTTTGAAGCAGCTTATAGACTTTTGAGATATTTGAAGGGGACTCTTGGAAAAGGTCTACTTTTTAAAAAACGTGGACATCTACAAATTGAAGCCTACACCGATGCAGACTGGGCTGGGAGTATAACAGATAAGAGATCAACATCTGGATAATGTTCCTTTGTTGGAGGAAACCTTGTTACTTGGCGAAGTAGAAAAACAAAATGTGGTTGCTAGAAGCAGTGCAGAGGCAGATTTTAGAGCAGTGGCTCATGGTATTTGTGAAGTTATGTGGATTAAAAGATTGTTAGAAGAGCTGAAGGCTTCAGATTCGCTGCCCATGAAGTTATGCTGTGATAACAAGGCAGCAATTCCAATCACGCACAAAATTACAATCCGGTTCTTCATAACAAAACAAAGCATGTAGAAGTGGATAAACACTTTATCAAGGAAAAACTTGACAGTGGGCTGATTTGTATGCCATACATCCCAACTGCCAAACAGATTGCTGATGTATTTACTACGGGGCTGCACAAGAAGCTATTTAACGCTTTAATTGGCAAGCTGACTATGGAAGATATCTTCAAGCCAGCTTGAGGGGGAAAGTTGGAAAATCAGAAAGATATTTGGCAGTAATTACCAAGATTGAATAGCTGTAAATTAGCTATAAATTAGGCAGTGATTAGTCAATGATTATAAATTAGGATTGTATCTTTGTTAGGTAAACTCATTAGTTATTCTTTTCCTAGTTTATATTTCTTGTAATTCCTATAAGTAGGAATCCGTGTAAGTTAGATAAGAATTAATATATGAGAAAATCATTCCCAAACTATTCTCTCTGTTTTTAGAAACTTATTATCTTTACAAGCCGTTATTAATAAAGGGAAAAACATGTTGACTTTAAGATATAATCAAATCGAAAGTAAGTGATAAAAAAGAAGAAAAAGAGAAGAAAGCGGATGAGAGAAAAATAGAGAAAGATGGGGAAAGAGAGAAAGAATGAAAGAATACTTTCATCCTTCCACGACATTCTATTCATAATAACAAGTTTCAGAAATTACACATAAGCCCCAACATTATATAAGTAATAACAAATAAGCCCCTGACAACACTCCCCCTCAAGTTGGTGCAAAGATATCTATTATGCCCAACTTGACTAACATATATTGAAAGCAAGTCTTGCTCACACCCTTAGTCAAAACATCAGCAACCTGATCATGTGTATTGACGTATGGAGTATAAATCAACCTAAGACGAAGCTTTTCCTTGATGAAGTGTTAATCGACTTCAATGTGCTTTGTCTTGTCATGTTGAATTGGATTGTGGGTAATGCTAATAGTAGTCTTGTTGTCACAATACAACTTCATTGACTCGCGAATAGGATAACCCAACTCACCCAACATCGTACGTAACCATAACAACTCACAAACTCCATGTGCCATGGATATAAACTCAGCCTCTGCACTAGATCTAGTTACTACAGACTGTTTCTTGCTTCACCATGAAACAAGATTACCTCCAACAAATGTGTAATATCCTGAAGTAGATCGTCGATCTGTCATAGACCTTACCCAATCAACATCAGTATAGGCTTCAACACGCAAGTGGCGATGACTGCCAAACAATATCCCTTTAGCAGGTGAACCCTTGAGGTAGCGAAGAACATGATGAGCTGCCTCAAGATGAGGTGTACGTGGAGCATGCATAAACTGACTAATCACATTAACAACGTTGGCAATATCCGGGCGCGTGAGAGATAAGTAAATCAGTCTCCCAACCAATTGCTGAAATCTTCCCACATCATCTAATGGGTCTCCATCTACATCATTAAGCCTATGGTTCTGCTCAATGGGAATATCAACAGGTTTAGTTCCAAGCCTGCCTATTTCAGCCAACAAATCTAACATATACTTTCGTTGAGAAATGAACACCCCTTTCTTCGATCCGTACACCTCGATGCCCAGAAAGTATCTCAATGATCCGAGGTCTTTAACCTCGAACTCTGTCCCCAAGAATGACTTCATTTGATGAATCTCTTCTGGATCATCTGCAGTGATAACAATATCATCAACATATACAATAAGGGCAGTAGTGCAACCCTGCTGTTTTTTGATGAAGAGAGTATGATCTGCCTGACTCTGTGTGTACCTTACTCTTTTCACAGTAGTGTTGAACCTCTTAAACCAAGCATATGGCGACTGCTTTAACCCATATAAGGCTTTATTTCGCTTGCACACTAAATTCTGACCATTGGCAAGCTTAAACCCCGGTGGCATAGTTATATACACCTCTTCCTCTAAGTCACAATGAAGGAAAGCATTCTTTACATCCAGCTGATGTAAGGGCCAATTCAAATTAGCTGCCAAAGAAAGAAGAAAACGTATAGAGTTCATCTTGGCAACTGGAGCAAATGTTTCTAGATAATCAATTCCATAGGTTTGAGTGAAGCCCTTTGCAACTAACCGAGTTTTATCTCTCTCAATTGTTCTGTCTGCATGGTACTTTATTATGTAGACCCATTTGCAGCCTACTGGTTTCTTACCCCTAGGTAATGGAACAATTTCCCAAGTACCATTCTTTTCAAGGGCCTTCATTTCTTCAAGTGAATGGGAACAGGCAAAGGAAGGGGGCATTCCCTTTGAATGGACAACAGATTCTCTACCTGTATAGTAGTCTCCCCCTGTAGAGAATCCCGAGCAATAAAAAAAAAAAAGGAACAGACTCAAAGAATGTAACATCCATGGAGACAAAGCGACGACGAGTGGTAGGGTTATAACACCGATACCCTTTCTGAGTGGCAGAGTTTCCAAGAAAGACACATCGGATTGCCTGGTCCATTTTGTTCTTGCGATGATGAATGTGAACATAACAAACACAACCAAACACTTTCGGAGGGACAGTAAACAAGGCTGTGTCATGGTGTAAGACAGAGAAGGGGGATTGATAACCAAGAACCTTAGAAGGCATGTGATTGATAAGGTATGTAGCTGTTAAGGTTGCATCAGCCTAATAACTTTTAGGCACTCCCATCCTAATTAGAAGAGAACGGGTCACCTCCATAATATGACGGTGT